GAGGGTCCAGAATTTGACTAGGAAGGCACCAGATCTCATTCATTGCACTGCTATTGGAAACCAAACCAAAGGAAGGAGATTGAAGGGTGCCCAGATCTACGAACCTTAAAACCCTAAACCCTAAACCCTAAACCCTAAACCCTAAACCCTAAACCCTAAACCCTTCGGGCTGCAAGAACTTTAAGTTTCCTTCCTTCCACCACCGAGGACTGCACAAGACCCGAAAGACCCTAAACTCCATGAAATTTGAGGGAACCCTAAACCCTAAACCCTAAACCCTGATGGACCCTCGAGGTGTGGGAAGCCCCCGTCGCCCCTGAAACGTGTGGAAAACACAGCTCTGTAGCCCCGAAAGCTCGGGGAAAACCACGTTTTCCCCCGCTTCGCCCACCCCAATGCAGGTGGAACTCGCGGATTTCCACTGTGTTTCCGTTAGCTTCACGCAACCAAACTTCAGCATGGCACCTGTGCATTACATTGCCGTACGACGTATGGGTTCCTCCGGAGCCCCTTTAGTAGCCGAAGTGCGTCCGTCATGTGCATCATGTCTATGGGAGCTTAGGTCAAAGGCACAGCCTCCCCCGCTGCAGCGATGTACCGTCTGAGGCCCCAGCCGTTGAAAGAAACGTTGTTTTGGATTCAGGATTTAGGATTTAGGGTTTAGGGTTCAGGGTTTGGGGTTTAGGGTTTAGGGTTAAGGGTTAAGGGTTTTAAGGGTTTTGGGCTTAGGGTGCCTGGTTTAGGGTGCCTACGGCGTTTTGGGGACGACAAGAGGCAACGATCCACTGCCAAGACCGGTCCAACGAGCCCAACTCCCTAAAACCCTAACCTAAACCCTAAAACTAAACCCTAAACCCTAAACCCTAAATCCTAAATCCTAAACCCTAAACCCTAAATCCTAAACCCTAAACCCTACCCTAAAACCCTAAATCCAGAAAGCCTTATAAAGTCCCAAACCCCAAGACAAAACACCCCCCAATTGGGCCTGACGCGATTCGCCTGACAACTCCAGGTTCGGAGGGGCCTGGCTTGAAGGCTGGTTTAGGGTTTAGGGTTTATGGTTTAGGGTTTAGGGTTTAGGGCTTCGGGTTTCGGGTTTCGGGTTTAGGGTTTCGGGTTTGGGGTTTGGGGTTTGGGGTTTAGGGTTTAAGGTTTAGGGTTTAGGGTTTAGGGTTTAAGGTTTAGGGGTAAGCTTTACGATCGTTCGCATGAACTCATGTACACTGTCTACTATTTGCTTAAGAACAGCCCCAAAAAGGAAAAACTACATACTCCTCCTTGGCAATATAGGGATGGCTATCTTTCTAGAGCTACTATCAACAGAATTGGTGCTATAGCATATCTCAGTAGAGTGCGTCGCTCCCCCTTAGAGTAGCAGTCCTTAATGGGGATTTAGGGTTTAGGGTACTAGAACTCCTATTAAGGACTGTTAGTATAAGGGGGGAACATCTCAAGTGTCACACATTCAATGTTCGGGGGGGTTTGGGGGGTGGGCGGGGGTGGGAGGTTCGGGAACATTTGGGGGAGGACCCTAGACCCTAAACCTGAGACCCTACAGAAAGGGTCGCTGTGGGCCTGCACATCTAAACTTAACCCTGAGGGTTTAGGGTTTAGGGTTTAGGGTTTAGGGTTTAGGGTTTAGGGTTTAGGGTTTAGGGTTTAGGGTTTAGGGTTTAGGGTTTAGGGTTTAGGGTTTAGGGTTTAGGGTTTCCGGTCCAGGGTTTAGGATTTAGGTACAGGAGACCTTAAGCTCAAAACCTAAAACATCATTCCATGTTTGGATCAGTCTTGCAACGCCGCTCGCAACTCACCAGTCTCTTCGACCCTCTTTCTGCCCTCAAAAGCCGGACCTAGTCCCGCCTCAACCACAGACTCGCTAAACCCTAAACCCTAAACCCTAAACCCTAAACCCTAAACCCTAAACCCTAAACCCTAAACCCTACACCCTAGACCCTAGACCCTAGACCCTAGACCCTGCACCCTAAACCCGGTAACCCGAGACTCGCTAAACCCTAAACCCTAAACCCTAGACCCTAGACCCTAAACCCTAAACCCCAAACCCTAGACCCTAGACCCTACAGGGACTGTAGACCCTAGACCCTAAACCCTAAACCCGGTAACCCGATAACCCGATAAACCCTCCCTGTAGGATGGCGCCTTAGGGTTTGCAGGGTTTAGAGTATCAGAGTCCGTCCGCTGTCATATTTCAGCACCCGCGCGGCCCGCGCATGTAAGGTTTGGAAGCATCACGGGTAGACTTAAGGTGTACTGTAGCCCAGTTGTCCAGTTACCTGGGGGAATTCAAGGTGAACCTTTGGGATTATAAGGGGGCTATACTACCCCAAAAAGGTTAAAGGTTACCTACTCTACTACTAGGGTAGCAAGCCCCAAACCCGAAACCCTAGCCCGAAGCGGCCACCAAACGCCCCGGCGAGTGCCACCCAAAGCATGGAGAGCCTCGCGCATGCTGAGCAGGCCGACCTTGGAGGAGGGTTTGGGGTTTGGGGTTTGGGGTTTGGGGTTTAGGGTTTAGGGTTTAGGGTTTAGGGTTTAGGGTTTAGGGTTTAGGGTTTAGGGTTTAGGGTTTAGGGTTTAGGGTTTAGGGTTTAGTGTTTAGGGTTTAGGGTTTAGGGTTTAGGGCTAGGGTTTAGGTTTAGGGTTTAGTGCCACGGTTCTTCAGCCCTGTTCAGTCCCGTTGAACCCGAACCTCCAAGTGGGAAAGCATAAGCTCGGTCTCCGATTTCGGGTTTGGGGTTTTACTCTTGTAGGGCTTCGGAAAATAAACCCTCAACCCTAAACCCTAAAAAAACCCTTAGCCCTAAACCCTAAACCCTAAAAACCCTTAGCCCTAAACCCTAAACCCTAAAAATCCCTTAGCCCTAAACCCTAAACCCTGCAACTTAGGGTACTTCTCAAGCAAGCACAAGAAAGCAATACACCGGACTCCACCCCGCAAGTCCGCAACTTCCTGAAGCCCAGGTAGAAGGTTGTTAGGGTTTAGGGGGTTTAGGGTTTAGGGTTTAGGGTTTAGGGTTTAGGGTTTAGGGTTTAGGGTTTAGGGTTTAGGGTTTAGGGTTTAGGGTTTAGGGTTTAGGGCTTAGGGTTTGGGGTTTGGGGTTTGGGGTTTGGGGGTTTAGGGCGTAACCGGTGTAACCCTAAAGCCTAAACCCTAAACCCTAAACCCTAAAACCCTAAACCCTAAACCCTAAACCCTAAACCCTAAGCCCTAAGCCCTAAACCCTAAACCCTAAACCCTAAGCCCTTCTTGCAGCCCTCGAGTTCCGAAGCGGAAGCTGTCCAAGGCTTTTCCTTGCTCTCAGACAGGAAAGCCTCCCGACGTCAGATTTCAAACTTTCGAAGAGCCGGGAGATCTCAAATGACCGTCAAGGTTTAGGGGTCTTAGGGTCTTAGGGCTTTAGGGTTTTAGGGGTTTTAGGGTTTTGGGGTTTTAGGGTTTTAGGGTTTTAAGGTTTTAGGGTTTTAGGGTTTTAGGGCTTTCGGGTGTTAGGGTGTTAGGGTTTTAGGGTTTCAGGTTTTAGGGTTTTAGGGTTTTAGGGTTTTAGGGTTTTAGGGTTTTGGGGTTTTAGGGTTTTAGGGTTTAGGCTTCTGGGAAGCTGGCGAAACTCGTGCTTCAGCATCGGGGGGGGGGTGGGCTGGGCTTCTAATGCTTAGAGCGGCTGCTCCTGGTAGGGCTAAGGCTAAGATTTGGAGGGCCTTTGGAGAGGGGAGCTCTCAAGAGACCTTCTTCATTTAGCAGGTTTTAGGGGCTCTGGGAAGCTGGCGAAGTTTTGCTTCCGCATCTGAAAGATGCAAATGCTCTGCGCCACCTTCAGTTGCTGCAAAGCAGCCCCGCATCAGCCGCTCGCCAATGCTTCCCAGCTGACCTGATCAGGTGATTCTGGAGAAGAACTCAAACGGGGATGTGGTAGGCAGGAGAGGACTCCGCAAAAGGAGTCGCGTGGCATGGTCTTGTGATGAAACGAATGCTGCACAGGATCATGTAACCCTCCATCTAGTCAAGCTTCTTCAGTCACCGCCCCTTTTTTGGCTCGTTTGCATCTCTGGGCCTGGTGTCACCACACCTAGTCTGAGTCTGCTGTGTGAGGGGGAGGATTAAAGGAGCGCTTTGAGTTGCATTTCGCATAAGGAAAAGCTCCATGGCTGAGTCGAGCTAAAACATGCGGGTTTGTCGGAGTAGCTCCTTTGGAGTTTGTTCTCGCCACCCGCCTGGCCAACAACCTAGGCAAGCACTGCGGGGCCGAAGGAGAAAAGGCTGCTTTGACAGTCGCCCAACTAGAGGAGACCCTTTCAAACCCTAAACCCTAAACCCTAAAACCTAAACCCTAAACCCTAAACCCTAAACCCTAAACCCTAAACCCTTCACCCTGCTGATCACGTGGCGAGAAAGGGCCCCGCAGGCAAGGGATGGGTGACCACGAAGTAACCACGAGTGGCCGGCACGCCTTCGAAAGTGTGCCCCCTGTCGAGAAATAGGCTACACAACCTTTCCTTAAAAGTAGGCTGCATATCTCACGTTATGGGTCTGAGCTGTAAGGCATCTCTTTGCTGTTTACGTGCCTTGAGTTTCCCAATCAGACTTCAGCATACATGGCCTCGCGAAGCTCGCGAAGTGAGAGCAGACTAGGGGGGGCTCACTTACCACTTTTACTGCCAAATGATTCGGCATCCTAAAGTGGCTACCAAAACAAAGCCTCCGGGCCACTTGGGTTTGCGCTGCGGGGCACACTCTGCCCTAAAATGCCTTAACCCGAAACCGTAACACAAACTAGAGGAAATTGCTGATCACATCGCAGGCAGGCGATGGGTGACCACGAAGAAACCACAGGCGTCGGCGGCGGCGCTGTGTTATCGGGCGATCCCTTAAAACAACAACATGGAGATTGGATCGTGGCAATTTGCCACATCCAATAACAAACTACATCAGCAAGCATCGTGCGCGAGTCGTCCCCTCAGAAAGATCTGGATCGACGTCTCGGTCATCACAAACTCAGATGGTCCTCATGTACCTCAACCACTCCTTCAAGAGCGCTTGGCTGCAAGCCATCGTCGAAGCTGACGCCGATGTTTTTCATGGCAACCTCGAGCTCCTCATCCACCAAATCGATGTCAGCGTCCATTCGCTGGGTCTCAGCGGCGTTGTCAATGGACTCGTAAAAGCTGATGCCGACCTCCTGCAAGACTTCCTCGAGCCCTTGGACGTTATTCAGGATGTCCGTGACATTTGCGCCCCCGCTGTTGGAGGCAGCCATGATGTTGTCGATCGGCTCTGCCTGGGTGTCCACGCTCACACCCGCCAGAATGTTCTTTGCAAGGTCCTCCTTTCCTTCTCCTTGCGCCTTTCTGCCGCGAGCGTAGCGCAGGTAAAGCAGCATGAAGATGCAGCAGCCTGCAACCACGGCAGCAACGGCCACCACCGACGCCACGGCGATGTTGTTGTCTGCTTCTTCCAGCGTGTTCGGCCGGATGGCAATCTCAATCGGGGGATCCGAAGCCTGGGCGACGTCCATGCTCACCACAAAGATTTCATCCACCTGAAAGCTGGCGTTCGCAAGCTCCAACTGCTCGGCGAGGTTCGTAGTGACCTGGTTTAAGGTAGCCGTGCTCTGCAGAAGGGTCGTAACGTTGTCCAGGAAGCCCGCCGCATCCTGCTCAAGTACGAAAGCCTTGTACGCCACGAAGGTTGCGCGAACCAACTCGACCGCTTCTTGAAGCCGTCTCTCGGAGAGGCGGCGGCCAGTCTGCGTGTCGTTCAACACCGTCAGCTCCACGTCCTCTGCAGCCACGCCGATGCCAAGTATGTCGCTCAAGATCACCGCCAGGCCTTCCTGAAGCTCTGCACCATCCGCAAAGGACGAATTCTCTGCTTCTGGAGTCCGGGGCCGAACAGCGAGGTCAAGGAACCCAGAAACCCGCACTGTTGCATTCCAGAAGGTCGTCGTTGTGATGCTCGTCGTCGAACTGGTCCGGCTTGTGCTGGATGTTGTCGTGGTCGTGCTGGACGCTGAGGTGCTCGAGGTGCTCGACGTGCTGGTGCTGGTGCTGCTCGTGGACGTAGAAGTCGACGACGTCGAGCTTGATGAGCTGGTGCTCGATGACGTCGAGGTCGAGGATGTGCTGCTGGATGACGTAGACGTGGACGAGGTTGATGTTGAGGAAGTAGACGTGGACGAACTGGACGTCGAAGAGCTTGATGTAGTGGATGTTGTACTGCTGCTGGAAGACGTGGTCGTGCTGGACGTTGAAGTGCTGGACGTTGAAGTGCTGGACGTCGAGGTGCTGGACGTCGAGGTGCTGGAGGTGCTCGACGTGCTGCTGCTGGTGCTGCTGGTGGACGTAGAAGTTGACGACGTCGTGGACGTCGTACTGCTGCTGGACGACGTGGTCGTGCTGGACGTCGAGGTGCTCGAGGTGCTCGACGTGCTTGTGCTGGTGCTGCTCGTGGACGTAGAAGTTGACGACGTCGAGCTTGATGAGCTGGTGCTCGACGATGTAGAAGTCGAGGATGATGTGCTAGATGACGTAGATGTGGAAGAAGTTGATGTTGACGAAGTTGACGTGGACGAGCTGGACGTTGAAGAGCTTGATGTCGTGGACGTCGTGCTGCTGCTGGAGGACGTGGTCGTGCTGGACGTTGAGGTGCTCGAGGTGCTTGACGTGCTGCTGCTGGTGCTGCTGGTTGACGTGGAAGTTGACGACGTCGAGCTTGATGAGCTGGTGCTCGATGATGTAGAGGTCGAAGAAGATGATGTTGACGTAGTTGACGTGGACGAGCTCGACGTTGAAGAGCTTGATGTAGTGGACGTCGTACTGCTGCTGGAAGACGTGGTCGTGCTTGACGTTGAGGTGCTGGATGTTGAAGTGCTGGACGTCGAGGTGCTGGACGTTGAGGTGCTCGAGGTGCTCGACGTGCTGCTGCTGGTGCTGCTTGTTGACGTAGAAGTCGACGACGTCGAGCTTGACGAGCTGGTTCTCGATGATGTTGAAGAGCTTGATGTCGTGGACGTCGTACTGATGCTGGAGGACGTGGTCGCGCTAGACGTTGAGGTGATGGACGTTGAAGTGCTCGAGGTGCTCGACGTGCTGCGGCTGGTGCTGCTTGTGGACGTTGAAGTTGACAAAGTCGAGCTTGATGAGCCGGTGCTCGATGACGTCGAGGTCGAGGATGTTGTGCTAGACGCCGTAGATGTGGATGAAGTTGACGCTGACGAAGTTGACGTGGACGAACCGGATGTTGAAGAGCTTAGTGTAGTGGATGTCGTACTGCTGCTGGAAGATGCGGTCGTGCTGGATGTTGCGCTGCTTGTGGAGGTGCTGCTTGCGCTGGATGTGGTCGTGCTGCTGAAGGTGCTGCTCGAGCTGGTAGCTGTAAGGGTCGTCGTTGTTGTTGGATCACAGAAGGAGAGAAAACCCGGGTCTCCAAGAATACTAGAACCCCAACTCACAATGTTGCCATCAGTCTTCTTGGCCGCAAACCCTACACCGTTGCTGAAGATCGTGCTCACATTGGTCAGGTTGTCTGCGACGGCACTTGAGTCTGCGCCCGAGAAGACGTACCCCCAAGTCACCACTGTTGCATCCGCCTTCAAGGCTGCAAACGCGTCACCAGTGGTGAAAATTTCTTGCACGTTGGTAAGCTGGCCGCTGACAGCGCTGCTGTCCCCCCCAGAATTTACGTGGCCATATGTGACGACAGTGCCATCTGGCCTCCTCCCCGCCAAAGCATGACGACCCACAACCATCCAGTCCACATCTGACAGCTGGTCTACAACCTCACCCGTGCCCGGAATCCAAATGACCACGGTGCCATCGCGCTGCCTGGCAGTGAAGCCCTTAAGATAACCTAAAACACCGACCGTGTCCACGTTGGTGAGCTGGAGGGGGTCAAGCTGAAGTGAATAGGTCGCGCTGGAACTGTCATAGACCCGGGTGTAGCTCTTCAGCGTGTCATCTGTCTTGAGGACGGCAATTGTCACCACGGATGGCAGGCTGATGATCTCGCGGACGTTCGTCTCCGAGATGTACGCGGCACCGCCAGAAGACTGATAGACACCTGTAATTGGTCCACCCCAAATGATTGCCGTACCATCGGCTTTGATGGCTGCAAAGGCATCAGGATTGACGGAAGAGGCGATCACTCGGACAACGTCCGTCAGCACGGCACTGAAGGGCTGGATGTCTCCGCCGTAACCCTGATTCCCCCAAGCTACCACCGTGCCATCCATCTTTCTTACGGCGTAGGCAAAGCCAGTGTAGGCGATTGTGTCCACATTGGTCAGCTGGTCTGCGACGGAGCTCGCGTCCCCACCCCAATTTGCGTCTCCCCAAACGACCAGAGACCCATCCGTCTTCTTGGCCACAAAAGAAAACCAGTTTCCGACGATCTCTTCCACATTGCTTAAGTTGACACCGCTGGCGTCACCGCCTCGTGTTTGATCACCCCAAACAACGAAAGTCCCATCCGACTTGCGGGCAGCAAAGGCTGCGCCGTTGGTGAAGATGGCATCCACATTCGTGAGCTGGTCGCTGACGGCGCTGGAGTCCCCGCCGCGATCAGCCGACCCGAAAGTGAGGACAAACCCACCCGGAGTCGTGCCTGCCCATGTGCTGCCCCCTGGAACAAACAGAACGGGCGGGCATTGCCCGGCGGCTCTTGTCCATGAGTGGAGGAGGAGGAGGAGGATCACGAACGGCGCCATTCTGCTTGTCGATCTTTCTTTCACAGGATGTACGATTCTAGCCGGCGCTTGCTGTTGAGCCAAAAGGCCTCAGCCTTTGGGTCTCAGCCTTTCGGGCTCTCAGACCTTGGATATGTTGCGCAGAAGCTTGAAGGGCAGGAGTCGACTCTGCAGCAACTTGGTATTCGTGAAGGTGACCAAGTCATGCTTTAGCCTTTTTCCAGTGAATTTGTTCGTCTTGTGCACGGGCATTGTAGATTCAAAATGCATTTTATACAAATCGCTATCAGGTTTCCTTGTCTTATTGAACATAGCGATCTCACATTTCACGTAGAACTTCACTCTGTAGCAATCGGCCTGCACACCATAAAGCACATAATGCTTCTTGCTCGGCTTGGTGGATTTCCGCAAGCATCGTGCGACCTGGGCTCCCGACACACGTCGCCGAGTCGTTGTCCATGCTGGCATGGCCTCGCGGAAAGATAGGATTTTGGGCCTTATAGGGTTTGGGGCTTATACATTGGGATGTGCCCCCTTATACTAGCAGTCCTCAATACGGATTCAAGTAGCCCCTATTATATTCCCTAATAAGGACTGTCTGTTAGTATAAGGGAGAACATCCCAATTTTTGGAGACTGCGGGGGGTTCTCACACCCTAAACCCCAAACGCTAAATCCCTAAACCCGAAACCTCCCAACCCCCTGAACCCTAAACCCTAAAAGAGGCCCCAAGTCTTGCCTGCGGGTGGGGAGGGGCTTGCTTTTGGCTCGCTCTTGGAGTTTTTTGGGACCGTTCGGGCCTTCTGGGGGGCCCATTGCTGCCTCTGGAACCTCTTGGCGAAGCAGGGGGAGCTCCTCCTGGCGATTTTTTCCCCACCCTCGGCGTGGTTGCTAGATTTTTAGCTTAACCCTCCCCTCGCTTCGCTTTCTCCTGGACCGTCACCCGAGGGCTGCCTTTATTCCCCCGCCCCAGAGGGTGCAAACCACTCCCCACTCCCCCTTGACCCCACCCCCAAAAACAAAAAATGCCAGGCTACCGTTAATTTAGGGTGGCAGGTTGCCAGAAAGGAGCCAAGAGCTGAATCATGGGAGGATTTATAGGGCTCATGGTTAGGAAGGGTTGGGGAACGAACTGCAGAAATTTGCGACGGCCACATGTACCTTTCAACCCTATATATAGCCCGAAACCTTTGCCTTCACGATTGGGAGGGTCCAGGATTGGGTTGGGAAGGGCTCTATTCAACCAAAATTGTTAAAGGTTTCCTACCCAGTCCCTAAGTTGCTATTCCTCAAACCCTAAACCCGAAACCCTAAATTTCTGACAGAAACCAAAACAATGGAAGGAGATTGAGGGGTTCCCGGATCGTCTACACCCTAAACCCCGTAAGAGCCGAAACCCTGAATCCATTAGGATTTAGGATTTAGGGTTTAGGGTTTAGGGTTTAGGGTTTCGGGTTTAAGGACCCCCCTAAACCCCCTAAACCCCGTAAAGCCCCTCGCACCCCTTAAAGCCCTTCATCCCAAAGTTCTAATCCCTGAACCTGACACCCAAAAGCCCGAAACCCCCAAAATTTGTTCCGGGCACCCCCTGAGAAACGACAATTTTTTGCGGGGTCTCCGGCGAAGTCTTCTCAAGGTAAGCCCATAAACCCTAAGCCCGCCCCGCCCCCGCCTTTCATGGCATGTGCAGCCGGATCGCTTCCAACGCCTCCGGGAAGAAGTTCCAAAGCCTGGAGACAGACGACTTGCGCAAGGGAAAGAACTTCAAAAGGACTCTCTCTCTAGAGTATCCGTAGATTGGGCTTAGGCGGCTCAGGGTTTCAAGGGTGTAGGGCTTCTTTCGTACCTTCCACCACCCAAGACCCTAAACCCCATGAAATTTGAGGGAACCTCTATGGACCCTCGAAGTGTAGGACGCCCCCGCCGCTCCCCCCTGGAACGTGTGGAAAACACAGTTCTGTACCCCGAAAGCTCGTGGAACATCATGCTTTCACCCGCTTCGCCCACTCCAATGCAGGTGGAACTCGCGCATTTCCACAATGTTTCCGTTTAGCTTCAGGCAACAGAACAGTCGGATGGCACCTGTGCTGATTTCCAGTTGAGGATCTTGAACATTACATTGCCATACGATGTATGCATAATAGTACGGTTTCATTCTTATGGCAACTTAATTTCAGCCACTAAACAGCAACCCCGTTTAGGAGCCCCTGTATCCCTACTTTGGAGTAGACCCTGGAAATAAAGTGCATACTTGAAAAGGAGAAGTAGCCATATAGGAACCCTGAATCAAGACAAATATTCAAGTACATATAGTACTCCAAAACCCAGGTAATGTCCATGTGTTTAGGGTTTAGGGTTTAGGGTTTAGGGTTTAGGGTTTAGGGTTTAGGGTTTAGGGTTTAGGGCTTAGGGTTTAGGCTTTAGGGTTTAGGGTTTAGGGCTTAGGGCTTAGGGCTTACGGGAATGGCACGTGAGGTCGCAGGTACAGCCTGCCCACACTCGAGCGCTGTACCGTCCAAAGCCCCAGCCGTTGACAGAAATCCTAAGCCCTGGACCCTAAACCCTAAATAAACCCTAAACCCTAAACCCTAAACCCTGAACCCTGAACCCTAAACCCTAAACCCCAAACCCTAAACCCTAAACCCTAGACCATAGACCCTAGACCCTATAGACCCTAGACCCTAGACCCCAACCTCGAGCTGGACTGTGAGGGTTGCTACGGCTTGAGGGGTTTAGGAAACGATAAGTCAACAAACTCTTTTCAAGAGCGGACCAGCGCAGCTAAACCTCTAAACCCTCCAACCCTCAAACCCTCAATCCCTAAACCCTAAACACTAAATCCCTAAATCCCTAAACCCAAAACCCTAAATCCCCAAACCCTAAACCCCAAACCCTATAAGCCGTAACTCCCGAACCCAAGCTGGGGCCTGACGAAGGATTCGCACGCGGCAGCTCTGGGTCAAGAGGGGCCTGGCTTGAAGGCTGCGTACTTGGAGACTCATGCTACTTAGTAACCCAATTAGGGTTTAGGGTTTAGGGTTTAGGGTTTAGGGTTTAGGGTTTAGGGTTTAGGGTTCAGGGCTTGAAGGCTTCGTAAGCTTCACGATCGTTCGCATGAACTCATTTACGCTATGATTCCAACAACGGCCTTGCGTGTAGGGTTTAGGGCTTAGGGCTTAGGGCTTAGGGCTTAGGGCTTAGGGCATCGGGTTTTGGGTTTCGGGTTTAGGGTGATAAAGCTCCTCAATGATGATTACCTAAACCCTAAACCCTAAATCCTAAACCCTGAACCCTGAACCCTGAACCCTGAACCCTAAACCCTGAACTCTGGAGGCGCAGGTCCTGCCGGGGCTCGGGTGCTGTCGTGCGACGGCGGTGCCGGGCCCTACGTGGACGGAGGGGTTTAGGGTTTAGGGTTTAGGGTTTAGGGTTTAGGGTTTAGGGTTTAGGGTTTAGGGTTTAGGGTTTAGGGTTTAGGGTTTAGGGTTTTAGTGTTTAGGGTTTAGGGCTTAGGGTTTGGGTTTTCGGGTTTCGGGTTTAGGGTTTAGGGAGACTCAGAACCCCTTAATTCAGGAATATCCTCTAAATCATGTTCCTATCCATGTTTCGCATAATTATGTAGCTTCACTTTCGCAAAAGCAAGCCTGCACGGCCTGGGTGCGCGGACATCAGACATCCCGGCGCAAATTGAAGTTCCAAATGCTCGTAATGTTCCTCTTCAATCCACCAGTGCCTGCACAATAGCCGCCCAATTGTAGAACCTTGGTAGCCGAGCAACCACAATTTAGTAAGGGTACCCCATTTTGGGCAGGCTGCTTTACAAGGGAACCTTGAACCAAACGAAGGGCGCAAAAGGATACCTCTGGGCTACCAAGACAGTTAAGAATCCCCGAAACCCAAGCACGAAACCCTAAACCCTAAACCCTAAACCCTAAACCCTAAACCCTAAACCCTAAACCCTAAACCCTAGACCCTAGACCCTAGACCCTAGACCGTAGACCCTAGACCCTAGACCCTAGACCCTGGACCCTGGACCCTAGACCCTAGACCCTAGACCCTAGACCCTAGACCCTAGACCCTAACCCTAAATCCTAAACCCTAAACCCTAAACCCGAAACCCTGCCAAGGAACTGGGCGAAGGGTGAATACAAAAAGTGAGTGCAGTCCGGATAGCAATGCAAGTCATGCCGCAAAGCCTCGGTGGGCCCCGCAGCCACGTTATCAGAAGCGTACCACTTTAGGGTTTAGGGTTTAGGGTTTAGGGTTTAGGGTTTAGGGTTTAGGGTTAAGGGTTACTTGTAACCCCAGACCCAAAGGTCCTTGTTTTCCGAAGTAAGAGTAAAAGTGCACCACTGGGTGTCCCAGGAAGCAAAATAATCGAAGGCATCGGCGATTCTCAAGTGGCGCCTTGCTTGCGGCATGACCGTCGTCAACCATCGAAGGAACTCCCGATTGCGCCACCTGAAGGGGTTTCCAACATGTGGGGGCGTTTAGGGTTTTAGTCGATTTAGGGTAGGGTTCCGCAATTTGAGCTTGTGTATGATTTGGGTTCCGAAAATTTGGGGGGGGGGGGGGAGGTTGGGGGGGGCTCTCTTGGAAAAAAGCGCGCCCACCTCGCGGCAGACATGTTCGTGATCGGCGCACACTCCCTCGAGGAGGCTTGGCCCTTCACAGTTCTGTGCCTTGGCAGCCAGTAGGTTTAGGGTTTTAGGTTTCAGGGTTTAGGGTTTCGGCTTTAGGCTTTAGGGTTTAGGGTTTAGGGTTTAGGGTTTCGGGTTTAGGGTTTAGGGTTTCGGGTTTAGGGTTTACGCGCACCATATGGGGGTTTACGACATTAGGGGTACCTTAGTGGGGCCCTTATTCAAAAGGGGATCCTGACTACTATTCCGGGGTTCGTATTGAGGGATCTCGTAAATCATAATATGATAATCAGGGCACCCCTCTCATTCTTTGGAGTTGATGACTTTAAGAAAGGGAACCTTGAACAACCTCCAAACCCCAAACCCCAAACCCCAAACCCCAAACCCCAAACCCCGAACCCTAAACCCCAAACCCCAAACCCCAAACCCTAAACTCTAAACCCTAACCCCCCCCCCCTCCCACAAAAAAAAGAGAGGGGGGGGGGGGGGGGCAAACGGGTACCACCGGGCTACCAAGGTGCGCATAGAGCCCCGAGCCATCCTGGGTTGGAAAATGCTGCGGATGCGTTGTCAGCCACACCAGCTGGTCCTAAGATGTTCAATGGCAATGGGGGAAAAAAAAGACCCTAAGCCCTAAACCCTAAACCCTAAACCCTAAACCCTAAGCATACTTTGTGGGCTACTTACCGAAGAGAGGGAACCCGGAACCCCAAAAGAAAGCAAAGAAGTATCCCAGAGACTCCAAAACCCCTTAATTAAGGAATATACCCTAAATTAGAATAGGAACCCTAATATGATTTCAGGTATATTCCTTAATTTGGGGTTTTGGAGTCTCTGGGTATACTACTTAACAGCCCAGTGTCGAACTTGCCCGCGCGCAGCAAAGGCAGCGCGTGACGGGCCATCCCCTCACCGAAGGTCCTGGTGTCGGGATGCTCCCCCTTGTTTCCTACGAGCCCGAAACCCTAAACCCTAAACCCTAAACCCTAAACCCTAAACCCTAAACCCTAAACCCTAAACCCTAAACCCTAAACCCTAAACCCTGCGGCTCCTTACTAGAGATTGGCATATTGGGGGGGTACTATGATCCCTCTTAAGGACGGTTAGAAAATATGGGAGAACATCCCAAGGTCCTGGGGTCATTTTCGTGGACCCCCCAGTTCAGAACCACGTAGGAGTAGGTGCTGAAGGGGTCTGCAGCTGCCGCGTTGTCGGGCTGGGCAAAGGCAAGCATCAAGCTGGAGCAGCTGGGGTGCAGTGGAGTGCGCGGATGAGTCGCCTGAAAAAATCCCTGCTTCTTGTCTTTCAGCTTCGTGCCGGTGGCCCGGCATGACTTCCACAAGGGCAGTGAAGAGTTTTCCCCCTCCCAGTAGAGGGCGCCGAAGGAGGAGTTTGCTTCTCCGCTGCACCAGCGAAGACGTTTCCATCCGAGGCGCATTGCACCGAACACGCTCGCCATGTACAGATCCGACATCAGCGAATCACCCACGAAAAGCAATCCTAGGTTACCCCAGAAACTCCTTCACAAAGGGCACCCCTTCTTACTGCTCAGGCTCAGTTTTAACAAGGACGCCCCTCCCCCCACCCCCCCACCCCCAAACAAAAAAAGGAACAAGGGTACTACAGGGGACCCTAGAATCTGCAAGGCGGGGAAAGAGACACATGGTGGAGCAAGCTGGCTAAGGATTCCAGCGCCGGGGCCTTTTGACCCGTCTTCAAGACCTTTGAGGCCCGGTCTGAGGCGTCCAAGGGCACCTCGCACCTTATCCTTAGTAGCCCAGGAACCATACATCATCATAAGGGCACCAGGGGGGGGGGGGGGGGGGGGGGTTGGCTACTGTTATATCGGAACCCTGAACCCCCAAAAAAGGGAAAAGGGTACCGCTGGGCTGCCAAGCATCGTGTGGCTGCGCCCCAGGCAGCCATGCTTTACGTGGAATGAGCAGTTGCCGCCCTTCCCAAGCTGCCGTGGCTGTAGCGCCATCCGCAGCTCCTCTTTCGAAGCTCGTCTCCAAGAAGCCGGCGAGCTTTTCCTTAGTAGCCCAGTAACCCTATTGTAATAAGGGCACCTTTTTTTGGTTGGTTACTTTATATGGGAACCCAGAGCCAAAAAAAAACTAAACCCTAAACCCTAAACCCTAAACCCTAAACCCTAAACCCTAAACCCTAAACCCTAAACCCTAAACCCTAAACCCTAAACCCTAAAACCTAAACCCTAAACCCTAAACCCTAAACCCTAAACCCTAAACCCTAAACCCTAAACCCTAAACCCTAAACCCTAAACCCTAAACCACTGGGCTACCAAGTTTCCTGCCCAACCCCGCTCTCCACCTGAAGTAGGGTTTATATTTCTTGTACGCCCCAAAAGGACACCAAAAAATATACACTCAGCAATATGAAAAAGGGTTTAGGGTTTAGGGTTTAGGGTTTAGGGTTTAGGGTTTAGGGTTTAGGGTTTAGGGTTTAGGGTTTAGGGTTTAGGGTTTAGGGTCCTTCTATACACTCACCAAAAACAGAAATGTACACCCTGCTTCACCTGGTGATCCAGGCCATGGAGGTGTTTTCGGCTGCTCGGGGCGCGGTGCGATTCCACGAGGGGTCCGATCGCTTTGCATCACCTCGGGGGTCCGAAGTTAGGGTTTAGGGTTTAGGGTTTAGGGTTTAGGGTTTAGGGTTTAGGGTTTAGGGTTTAGGGTTTAGGGTTTAGGGTTTAGGGTTTAGGGTTTAGGGTTTAGGGTTTAGGGTTTAGGTACCTTCTTGGGGGTCCTTATTCTGAGGGAATCCTGCTATTTTGCGATCTTTTGGGGGGTCTCTTTTTAAGGGCCCCTTCTTTTCGTAAACCCCCACCTCGACTCTCAGTTGCTGATGGCTTCGCACTCCCACGCCGCAGGTTGATGTGCAGGGCAGAATCGAGAAAGAGCAGTCCGGCGAACACGGCAGCCGTGGCAGTCAGAACACATGGGGCCGCCGATGCCATCACCCTAAACCCTAAACCCTAAACCCTAAACCCTACACCGTAAACCCTAAACCCTAAACCCTAAACCCTAAACCCTAAACCCTAAACCCTAAACCCTAAACCCTAAACCCTAAACCCTAAACCCTAAAACCCTAAATTAAAAACCCGAAGCCCGAAGCCCTAAGCCTAAGCCCATCCCAGACCCAGAGCTCTTCTACCCACGAGCTCTGACAAACCTTGCGAGTTTGCGGACATCCGCGATCGGATTCTGTGTAATGAGAGCTTCAAGCCTGAACTATATACTTTTAGGGTTTAGGGTTTAGGGTTTAGGGTTTCGGGTTTAGGGCTTGGGTTTAGGGTTTAGGGGTTAGGGTTTAGGGTTTAGGGGCCCAGCGACCTAGGATTACAAAGGGTGCCCGTTTCTGCTTAAGGTGTTCTGTTTATAAGGGAACCTAAAAACCTCCGAAAAGGGAAGGGGGCTACTGAGCATCCTAGCATAGAAAAGGGCATGCCCCGATCTCCCAAAAAGCAGTGGTTCTTCGAGGTCGAAGAGTAGAGGGGGTGCAAGGTTGGTGGTTTAGGGTCTAGGGTCTAGAGTTTAGGGTTTAGAGGGTTTAGGACTTCGGGTCTAGGGCGGCCTTAGTTTTCATTCCACGCGTCCTTGCAAGTTGGTGACCAACATGTATGCAACAGATTCATTTTGACCACAACGTGCGTGCTGTACGACCTACTGTAACGTCCAGGCCAAACCCTAAACCCTAAACCCTAAACCCTAAACCCTAAACCTTAAGCCCTCGATCCGGAATGAAGCTCCTACACCCTAAGCCGGGCCTAAGACCGATGCCGCAGCTACAGGACCCTAGATCAACCCTAAACCCTAAACCCTAAACGTTCAGTCCCAAACCCCAAACCCCAAACCCTCAAGTGCCCTGAGTCTTTCTAGGATGGCCCTTGAGAGCCTCTCACCTATCACCCTAAACCCTAAACCCTAAACCCTAAACCCTAAACCCTAAACCCTAAACCCTAAACCCTAAACCCCTGATGAGCATGGGGGTCTAAATTTAGGGCTTGGCATTGCGGGGCCTTGGCAGGCATGTAAACCCTAAGCCACAAACCGTGCACCGGAGTTTGGGGTTCAGGGTTTAGGGTTTAGGGTTTAGGGTTAGGGTTTAGGGTTTAGGGTTTAGGGTGTAGGGTTTAGGGTTTAGGGCTCGGGGTTTAGTTTCAGGGCTTAGAGTTTAGGGTTTTCCGGGCATAGAAGACACGAGCTACACCCTACACCCTAAACCCTACACCCTAAACCCTAAACCCCAAAACCCTAAACCCTAAACCCTAAACCTCAAAGCCCACCCAGCTTTGGGGTTCGGTTCAGCATGGGGCTTGGCTGCTTCGGGCTTCCTAGGGTTGAGTCTTTAAGGCTTCTGACGTTTGGTATACACTCCGGGGGTTGAGGGTTTAGGGTTTAGGGTTTAGGGTTTAGGGTTTAGGGTAGTTTAGGGCTTAGGGTCCCACAGCAGCGCACGCGAACTGGAGTACTCCGCACAGGAGCATCGCCATTCTTGCCCTAAGCCAACTATGGTTTTGGGCTCTTACCCTGGCTTGGGCCTAGGGTTGGGTGTAGGGTTTAGGGTTTAGGGTTTAGGGTTTAGGGTTCAGGGTTCAGGGTTCAGGGTTTGAGGGTTTAAGGCAACTACTGGACTACGACCGGTTTCGAGCCCGAGGGCTTTTGGGGAACTAAGCTGAGCCCTCTGAACTACACCCGAACCCTAAACCCTAGGCCCTAACCCCAAAAGCCCTAAGCCCTAAGCCCTAAGCCCTAAACCCTAAACCCTAAACCCTAACCCTAAACCCTAAACCCTAAACCCTAGACCCTAAACCCTAAACCCTAAACCCTAAACCCTAAACCCTAAACCCTAAACCCTAGGCCCTAGGCCCTAGGCCCTAGGCCCTAACCCCAAAAGCCCCCTAAGCCCTAAAAAAAAAGGAAGGGGCCTACTCTGGGCCCCTAGTAGTTCGTTGGCCGATGCTCCGTGACACCACTCTCCCCAGCAGCACGCAAGGCTCCTGTGCATTCCGCGGCGGGCTTCCGTCGCTTTAACCCCCCGGATCCCTGTTAACCTTCCATTCAAACTAGGTTTAGGGTGTAGGGTTTAGGGTTTCGGGTTTAGGGTTAGTTCCCAGGGTCTACAGTTGAGGGTCTCGGGCTTAAGGCGCACAACCGGAGTGTTTGTCACACAAATCCTTGACCCGGACCGCAAGAATCTGAACCAAGCAAAGGAACCCTAAACCCTAAACCCTAAACCCTACACCCTAAACCCTTAAACCCTAAACCCTAAACCCTAAACCTGGGCCTCCAGTCGTTCATAGGTTGCCCGAAGCCTAAATCAGCAAACAGTCGGCTCCAACCCCAAACAACCCTGACCCCTACAGAAATCCTACACCCTAAGGGGTTTAGGTTTAGGGTTTAGGGTTTAGGGTCTAGGGTTTAGGGTTAAGCCCTAGTCCCTAAACTAGGTTGCCCAGTAACCTAGGATGAAAAAGGGTGCCCCTTTTTTGCTTAAAGGGGTTTATAAGGGAACCTAAACCTACCAAAGAGGGAATAAGGGTACTACTGGGCATCCTAGCCTAAACAAACCTTCATCAAACAGTCCCCCCCCCCCCCCCCCCAAACCCTTCCATTCGACTTTCATTCGGTAACCCCCCGGGAGAGAGCTCGCGCATACCTTTAAAGGAGTCATTCTAGCTGACCTTAGAGGCTATGTAGGAAGATTAAGGGTCTCTTCTAGGGGTCCCTCGTTGTACCCCTTAGACCCTAAACCCTCAACCCTCAACCCTCAACCCTAAACCCTAAACCCTAAACCCTAAACCCTACACCCTAAACCAAGCATGCGCTGGGGAGCATTCTGAGATATACAGAGGCTTTGCCTCGCGAGTGAGACGTTTCCATGCCCGCCTGGGAGGTGGCTGCGGTCTTCCGGCAAAGCTGGGGGGGGGAGGGGGGGTAGGGTTTAGGGTTTAGGGTTTAGGGTTCAGGGTTCAGGGTTCAGGGTTCAGGGTTCAGGGTTCAGGGTTCAGGGTTCAGGGTTCAGGGTTTAGGGTTTCGGGTTTAGGGTTTAGGGTTTAGGGTTTTGGGTTTTGGGTTTTGGGTTTAGGGCTCCCTAAACCCTTCATGGCTTGCTCGCTCGGGAGAACCCCGGTCCGACCTCCCCAGGGGCGGCGCAAGGAAGCAATTAACGCTGCGGAAAGCGATGGCTCCTCAAAAGGGTTTAGGGTTTAGGGTTTAGGGTTTAGGGTTTAGGGTTTAGGGTTTAGGGTTTAGGGTTGAGGGTTTGGGGCTTGGGGCTTGGGGCTTAGGGCTTAGGGCTTAGGGTTTAGGGTTTAGGGTTTAGGGTTTAGGGAAAAGTAAACACCCACTGTGCTTCAAAGGCTTCCTCGGGAGCTGGCTTTTGAGAAGCATCCGAGTGAGATCTCAGCACGTCTTGCGCAGAGCCTGGAGTCCTAAAGCCCTCAGCCCTGAGCCCTATAAGGCTGAAGCCCTAAACCCTAAAGCCTAAAGCCTAAAGCCTAAAGCCTAAACCCTAAACCCTAAACCCTAAACCCTAAACCCTAAAGCCTAAACCCTAAAGCCGTAAGGCTGAAGCCCTAGAGAGTCATGCGATCTGGTCCCTCTCGGCGCAAGAACGCGCGCAAAGTCAGACGATCCACACCTCGGCGACAGGATAGAGTTTAGGGTTTAGGGTTTAGGGCTTCGGGTTTAGGGTTACCCTAAACCCTAAACCCTAAACCCTAAACCCTCAACCCTAAACCCTGACCTTTTAGGGCTTAGGGTCTTGGGCCTGGGTGTGGGGACTGTCAATATGTTGGCACAATACGACACCAGCAACAATGGGTTGAGGGGGTTCTAAAGGTATATGCGACCCACCTAAACCCCAAACCCTAGACCCTAAACGGCCTTGAACCCTAATCAAGCCCGATCGCCAGAATAGGGTATTGTGCTCGGAAACCCTAAACCCTAAACCTTAAACCTTAAACCCTAAATACGCTAAACCCTAAACCCTAAACCCCTTCACCCTAAACCTCTTCACCCTGAACCCTAAACCCTAAACCTCAAGCACCAAAGCCTGCTTCTTGCAGGCTTGTCCGGACCTGTCAACAACTCTAAACTCTAAACCTTGCACCTCCAAACCCCAAAAAACATGACCCTCAAACCCGAACACCCCACTACCCCAATACCCCCTCATACCCCAATACCCTAATGCCCTAAGCCCTAAACCCTAACCCTAAACCCTAAACCCTAAACCCTAAACCCTAAACCCTAAACCCTAAACCCTAAACCCTAAACCCTAAACCCCAAACCCACCCTAAACACCCCGCAAAACCCTGCAGCCGAATGTGGAACTCGCAGGAAGCTTCGGTCGCCCGGCCGGAGCGCGGGCGAAGCGCTCTTCTGACGCCGCCTCCGGGTTTAGGGTTTAGGGTTTAGGGTTTAGGGTTTAGGGTTTAGGGTTTAGGGTTTAGGGTTTAGGGTTTAGGGTTTAGGGTTTAGGGTTTAGGGTTTAGGGTTTAGGGTTTAGGGTTTAGGGTGCGTGGGTGCGCTGAGAGGGCTCTTGCGCGGTTCAGGGTTTAGGGTTCAGGGTTTAGGGTTTTAGGGTTTTAGGGTTT